TAACCAGGTCTAAGTACACTCTGCCATCTCTTCACTGCCACCCACAATCCACAGTCTGTGCCAAACCGACCCAGATTCTGCCCCCGGAAAATGCCTGTTCATGCCAAAACAAAACTAATACGCAGATAACCTGGGAGGGGACAGGGAATGATATATATCACTCACTCCTGTCCAGCTTCCTGCTGAATTGGAAGTTAGCACCAGTCAAGGTGTGCAACTCTTCCTGAACGATCTCCACACCTGTGAAGGCTAGATTTTAAAATGAAAGCAGAGGCTTCCAGGATGCTGTCTTCTGCGCCAAATATTGAATATTCTGTGGCATGATACATTCAAACATGCACAGAATGTACTTGACTCTAAATGCAGCCAACTGCCCTGGTTTTTGGTTTTTTGGTGTGTTTTTTAAAAGGAGGTTTAAAATTAATGAGACTACTCTCTTGCTCAAACCAAGCCTCTTGTTGATTTCATTGGGATTTGAGCACAACTGGTTTTCAGTGGATCAGCACCACTAGAATGGCTTTGGGATCTGGATTACATTGAATTTTGCATGGAAACAGAATTGCAGCATGGATTATTCTGTTACTTGGAGTTAACTGAAGCGGAAACAATGCACAATGATTCTAGTCCTCAGTGTGGCTGCTTTGATTGACTGGCTAGCTGTCAGATAGATTTCTAAGTCTCCTTTCAGCTGGTTCTTCCAAGCTGGCCAGAGGAAGTTTTGTTTGGGAAAGGCAGCGTCTGCCACGGGGTCTGGTCTTTCTGGCACCAGATATTCTTCTGTGGCCAGGAGGGCTCTTTGCTCTCCCTTGCAGGCTCCTGGTCATGCTTCCCTCCCCACCTGCATCTTCTCTCTGCCAGTTACGCATCTCTTTGCCTTACACCACATGTCTCTTCCGCAGCATGAACAAACCTGCCCCTTCATTGTGGTCATCAGCTGAGGCCCTGCTCTGGGTGCTGCCACCTTTGGGAGTTAGGTGGGGGCTATTGAGGAAATGGCCTCCTACGGCAGTGACCTGATTGTGGAATAGAGTACTGTCCCCAGAGATCTTCATTTGGCAACTACATTACTATCCTTTAGACCAGTGTTTCCCAACCTTTTTTGGGCAAAGGCACACTTGTTTCATGAAAAAAATCTCGAGGCACACCACCATTAGAAAATGTTTAAAAAAATTAACTCTGTGCCTATATTGACTACCGTATTTTTCGCCCTATAGGACGCACCGGCCCATAGGACGCACCTAGATTTTGGGGGGGAAATAAAGGGGAAAAAATTATTCCCCCCCCCCAGACGCGGGGCTGGGGCGGGAGAAGCCCGAGCTTCCCCCGACCCCAGCCCCAGAATGGGAGCCAGAGTGGCTCCCGGAGCTTGCGGGACTGGGGGTGGGGGAAGCCCGAGCTTCCCCCGCCCCCAGCCCCCAGAAAGGGTCCGAGAGCGATGGCGAAGGTGAGCGCACCTTTGCCATTGCTCCCGGAGCTTGCAGGAGCTGGGGGTGGTGGAAGCCCGAGCTTCCCCCGCCCCCAGCCGCCAGAGCAGGTCAGAGAGCGATGGCGAAGGTGTGCGCACCTTCGGCATCGCTCTGGGACCTTGCGCGGGCTGGGGGCGGGGGAAGCCGGAGCTTCTCCCGTCCCCAGCCCCCAGAGCGGGTCGGAGAGCGATGGCAAAGGTGCGCGCACCTTCGCCATCGCTCTGGGACCTTGCGCGGGCTGGGGGCGGGGGAAGCCGGAGCTTCTCCCGTCCCCAACCCCCAGAGCAGGTCGGAGAGCGATGGTGAAGGTGCGCGCACCTTCCGCATCGCTCTGGGACCTTGCGCGGGCTGGGGGCGGGGGAAGCCGGAGCTTCTCCCGTCCCCAACCCCCAGAGCAGGTCGGAGAGCGACGGCGAAGGTGCGCGCACCTTCCGCATCGCTCTGGGACCTTGCGCGGGCTGGGGGCGGGGGAAGCCGGAGCTTCTCCCGTCCCCAGCCCCAGAGCGGGTCGGAGAGCGATGGCGAAGGTGCGCGCACCTTCGCCATCGCTCTGGGACCTTGCGCGGGCTGGGGGCGGGGGAAGCCGGAGCTTCTCCCGTCCCCAGCCCCCCGAACGGGTCGGAGAGCGATGGCGAAGGTGCTCGCACCTTCGCCATCGCTGTGGGACCTTGCGTGGGCTGGGGGCGGCCCCCCTCCCCAGCCCCCCGAACAGGTCAGAGAGCGATGGCGATGGTGTGCGCACGTTCGCCATCGCTCTCGGGGCTTGCGAGGCTGCGGGCGGGGGAAGCTGGAGCTTCCCCCGACCCCAGCCCTCCGAACGGGTTGGAGAGCGATGGCAAAGGTGCGCGCACCTTCCGCATCGCTCTGGGACCTTGCGCGGGCTGGGGGCGGGGGAAGCCGGAGCTTCTCCCGTCCCCAGCCCCCAGAGCAGGTCGGAGAGCGATGGCGAAGGTGCGCGCACCTTCGCCATCGCTGTGGGACCTTGCGTGGGCTGGGGGCGGGGAAGCCGGAGCTTCCCCCCTCCCCAGCCCCCCGAACAGGTCAGAGAGCGATGGCGATGGTGTGCGCACGTTCGCCATCGCTCTCGGGGCTTGCGAGGCTGCGGGCGGGGGAAGCTGGAGCTTCCCCCGACCCCAGCCCCCCGAACGGGTTGGAGAGCGATGGCAAAGGTGCGCGCAGCTTTGGCATCGCTCTGGGAGCTTGCGCGGCTGGGGGGATAGCTTCCTTAAGCCTGGAGAGCAAGAGGGGTCGGTGCGCACCGACCCCTCTCGCTCTCCAGGCTTCAGCGAAAGCCTGCATTCGCGGCGATGGGATGTGGGAGGGAGCTCGCTCGCCGCCCCGCGTGTGCTCGCCGCCGCCGCCCCGCCTCTCGCCGCCCGACTCGCCCGCCTCCCTCCCACGGCACACTAGGCAACGTCTCACGGCACACTAGTGTGCCGCGGAACACCGGTTGGGAAACACTGCTTTAGACACCAGTAAATACCATTTTGTTGCCAGGGGCTTTTGGGGAATCATAGCGTCATCTCTCTGGCATTACTGCCTGCTTTGCTGGTGGTGGGTCTGTTGCTGGAGGGATTTATGTGGAGGCTGGACACCCATCTCTTAGAGATGGTCCAGCTCTGAATTTCCTTCATCAAGGAGGGGGCAGGACTAGTTTAGGGGAAGGGAACCCTTTTGGAGGGAGCGCTGAGGGCCACATTCCCCCAGTGGAAAGCTGGCAGTAGGGGGGGGCAGCAATGTGGGGGGACGACGACCAGACACACCCAGATACTCAGTCATACATGAAAAGCTATTTTAATGGAAACAGAGGCATATATTTAATTCTTAGGAACTCTGCTCAGGTTTTACGTTTCATTATCTCCATATACTTAAATTTGGGGGGGGGTTTCAGTTAAAAATCATGAGCACCATTTTCTGGTTCAAAAAGCAGAAACACTGGACAAATGCAAATAGCACCAAGGCCTTATAGCTATTCAAAATTTGAAACGCAATTGCAACCATTGAACGTTCATGTTTGCACTTACAAGTACATGGGCAGTTTTTGCATGTTGGCAAACCTACCTCTCTGCTAAGACATTTCCACCTCTGCTTTGATCACCTTCTGGCAGATCTTCTTGCAGAAGAAGGAGCTGCCACTGGGCACTTTGCATGTTCTCCAAGTCCCTTAATGCCCTAGCTCAGGAGTGGGGAACCTGTGGCCCTCCAGATGAAGCTGCTCTGCAACTCTCATCAGCCCTAGCAAACATGGCCAATGGCCCAGAGTGATAGGAGCCGTAGCTCAGCAGCATCTGAAGGGCCAAATGGTCTCTGGTGAACAGTTGATGAAAGAGATGCTCCACCCCTCGACTAGATGGCCTGCCAGATGTGTTAGTGCAGACATGTCCAACCGGTCGATTGTGGGTGTGATCCTGGTCAATGGTGGGATTAGATAAAGTGGGCAAGGAATATTGCCGCCTCCCAGCGCTGGGTCCCTCCATTGCCGCAGCAGGGAAGGCCAGGCCGGGCGGCAAGTGCAAGGATTGTTGCCCAGCCCAGCCTTCACTGGGTCCTTGGTCCCTTTGACAATGGGAGGGAAGGAGGGGGGGGCAGGCACTTGAGCCGGGGGAGAGACGCTGACTGCCTCCTCAGAGAGAGAACTTTTGCCTCCTTTCCCTCCCCCCCTTAAACTCCCCCCTCCCACGTCCAGTTAGCCACCTCCTTCCACACACGCACCTCGCGCATGCTCCTTGTTCCTCCAGTGACAATGGGTAGGTCACTGCCAGTTTTTTTATACTGGGAGTAGATCGCAGTCTCTTGGAAGTTGGACATGTCTGTGTTAGTGTATTTGATAGTATTTGGCAATTGCTTTATTTTGCATTGTTAGTCACCTTGAATACCTTGCAGTGGAAAGGTGGGGAATAAGCATGTTAAATACATATAAACCTCCTGGCGTGCCGGAAGGTGTTGAACTGCAACTCCCATCATTCCTGACTATTTGCTGCCCTGGGTGGGGCCGATGGGACTTGTAATCTGAAAACATCTGGAAGATGCCAGGCTGGAGAAGTCTGCTTCAGAATGCTAACCACTATTTTGTGGTGGGCATTGAAGGAGCTGCCACTGGGTACTTTGCATGTTCTCCAAGTCCCTTAATGCCCTAGCTCAGGAGTGGGGAGCCTGTAGCCTTCCAGATGAAGCTGCTCTACAGCTCTCATCAGCTCTCATCAGGTAGATGTGAGACAGCTGTCTTTTGGAGAAGCCTGCTCAACATTCCGGAACTTTTCACTGAGGAAGCTTTGCCAGGCTTCCTAGAATTGCCACCGTTCTTTGGAACTCCGATTGCAAGCCACTGCTTTGAAACAGCGTGCTTCAACCTTGGGGCTGCAGGTGCTGTTGGACTGCAACTTCCTGGCTGGGGATGATGGGAGTTGTAGTCCAACCACATCTGAATGGCACCAGGCTGGGGAAAAGTTTATATAAGGAATACAGCTTAGTTCAGTAAAAGCTCAAAGTGGCACAAACGGCAAAACCTAATGGAATCTGTGATGGGCACATACTGATCAGTGCATTTTCCTGTCATTTCCACAGCCGCCGTGAAGCTCTGCGTCTCCTTGCGGGTCCCCCAGACCATCCCCATGGACCTGCGGATTGGACAGCGTCTCGCCAAACCTGGCCCTGACACTGCCTTCCTGGCTTTGAAGCAGACGCAGCAGCTGCAACACCAGCTCTTCCTGGCTAGTTTGCACCCCCGACTGGAGTACCAGCAAGTGGAGCAACTCAGCCACCAGCACCTGCGGGTCAGTATCCTGCGCTTTCTCAGGGTTGGGTGAGGGAAGCAGGTGATGCATACATATACTGCCCCAAAGAGCAGTTAGTCTCCAGTCAGCTTTGCCTCACTTGCCTTCCTGATGCTTCTCATGGGGCTTCTTTGGCAGAAGCGCTCCTTTTGCACTTCGGTAGCAAACATTGTTAGGAAACATTGTTTCACACATACGGACTTCTGCCCTCCAGCCAAAGACTTCCTGTGTTATTGAGCCATTGCAGGGGGTTGGACTGGATGACCCTTGAGGGCCCCTTCCAGCTCTACAATTTTATGATTCTATGAAAGAACTGTGGTGCTATAGGGGACTCTCCATAATCTCAGGAGCTGCTGCTCTTCCGTCTGATCAAGAGGTCACCAAGTTCTCTAGCCTGCCTCATCTGCTCACTTAGTTCCACAGACAGGGCATGCAGTTACCTCAGGCTATATATACCCAAAGGAAATTTTGTACCATCGTACGTTGGCAACTGGAGCCCTGTCATCTGGTGGTTGTCTGTGACCTTCCTTTCCCAAATGATGCAAAGTGTTGGTGGGCATTTTTTGCCATGGATGGAGAAGGTGCCAACAGTAGCATGTTGGCAAAGCTCAGCTTCTGTGAGGAATGTCAGATGGGAGACAGTCACCCCAGACAGGGTGTGAGGACAGGAAGAGAAGGGGTTAACAAGGCAATGGCAGGTGAGTGGGATGACCTAATTGCATATAGGAACTGGAAGGGAGGGGAGCAATGAAAGGGGGTAGTAGATTGAAAGAAAGGAACCTGAAGGGAGTATGGGTCCAGTCACCAGAGGCAGAGTGCATGCTTCAGCTGCAATACCAGGATCAGTCCCTGGTTTTCCAGTTAAAAAAACAAGTAGAAGGAGATCCTGAAGAGCAGGTGCCATTTAGGGTAGAAAGATCCAGACTCAGTGGACACATAGGCCTGTAGGTTGGGTCTGACTTGGACGCAGCTCCTGAAAGTGAGTCGGGTTGGCAGAGGGAAGGACTCTTGGACTCCATCCTTGATATGCTCATCAAACCTCGTTCTTCTCTGCATTTCCAGGTGTCGATGGAGCCACCGCCTCAGGATCCCATGCCTGGGAAGCAGGAACAGGAGCTGCGGCTGCTCTTGAATAAAGACAAAAGCAAACGCAGTAAGAGCCACTCACTTTCTCCTTCCCCCATGCCCCCCTGACTGGAGTGCCCATGGTTCCTTCCTTGCTGTTCCATAATTTGTGTCACCTACTCTTTTCTACCTGCTATGTGACCAGATGTGTCTAGCAATGGCGGAACTGGCGCCCATTGGACTGGTAGGGCAAGAGGCTGGCAGGCCAAGCACAGGGTGGATCCAGAGCCAGAGCCAATCATGGGCAGAAGCCAACTGATTCTCGGTTGTCATCCCGGCTCAGTTCCACAAGGGCAAATCAGAGACCAAGGAGGAAGCTGGCAGCCAGTGCTGCCCCCTAGATTGGTCATAAGTAGGGAAGGTGGCGACTGGCTGAGGACAAAATGAGGCTTTTGCTGATGCTGCTGTTACATTTATTACCTTGCCCTTCACCAGCTGGGGGTAGGTGCAACAATTAAGAAAGTTTAATGGTTTTACAGGAACAGGGTGAGCCCTGAAGACACACATCTCAGGTCTTGAAAGGGTAGGGTGAAGAGGTCCTCAGCATTCACTGAAGAAGCCAGACGTACCTCTGTGGGGAGGGAATTCCACAGCTTAGGGGCTACCACGAAAACATGCCCTCTCCCACCTCACGCCCCAAACTTCTTTGGGAGGTGCAACTACCAAGCGGGTCTTCTGGTGAGCTTAACCCCCAGGAGGATCTGTAGGAAAGGAGGCAGAAGCCAGAAGCCAGAACAGCAAGAGGGATCTGGCTTCTGGGATAGCCGCGCACAGCCTCTCCCGGGCAGCAGCATGAATTCTCCCCCTGCCCGGGAGAGACTGCGCACGGCTAAGCAAGAAGCCAGGACAGCAAGCAGGATCGCAGGGCAGCGATCCCACTTGCTGTCCTGACTTATGGGCTGCGCACGGCTAAGGCTCCCCCAAGAGCCGCACACACGCTACATGCAGCTCTTTAAATGGAGCGCTGAGCAGAGCCTCCTGCCTGCATTCGCTCCGTAAGACACACACACATTTCCCCGGTTACTTTTTAGGAGGGGAAAAGTGCCCATAGAGCGAAAAATACGGGATATCGTAGGTTTCGCTCCATTACACGCATTTTTTTCCTCTAGAAGTAAGGGGAATGTCTGTGCGTGTTACGGATGCGAACCTCCAGTGGTTGTCCAGCGGGAGAAGAGCCGCTGAATGGGGAGGAGAGAGGGACAGAGTTCCTGCTTCTTTAAAGGAGCAAAGTGGAGGGGGAGGAGCCGCTTTACACTCGTGTAAGCGGCTCCTGTCCGGTTGGCTCCTTTAAAGCAAGCAGGCTTTCTGTATCGCTATCGTCCCCAACCAGCGGCTCTTCTCCCGCTTTGCTGGAAATAGCAGGAAATATTTTCAGCTCGCTAAGGGGGGGGGAGGAGGGAGAGAAGCAGAGCCTGCTTGCTTTAAAAGGAGCAAACCAGGAGAGGGAGGAGCTGCTTACACAAGTGTAAGCCGGCTCCTGTCCGGTTGGCTCCTTTAAAGCAAGTAGGCTCTCTGTATCTCCTCCCGCTTTTGCTGGAAAATAGCAGGAAATATTTCAGCTTGCTAGGGGGGGGAGGGAGAGAACAGAACCTGCTTGCTTTAAAGGAGCGGCTCCTGTCCGGTAGACTCCTTTAAAGCAAGCAGGCTCTCTGTCCCTCCAGCAAAGTTTTTCAGCTCGCTAAGGGGGGGGGGGATAGGAGGGGAGAGAAGCAGAGCTTGCTCCCATGCATGCTCCTTGTCCCTTGAGTGCTTTTCCTTCCTCCCCACTTAAAACGTGGTTACAAAGCACGATCCACATGGATCCTCAGGATTTTTGCACTGGGTCACCCCCAAATTCACCAGCAGATCACATAGCATGTCCATGGCTACAGTTGCAGCAAAAAAATCACGCACCCACTGTTGCCTGGGGCTGCAGTGGTGCAAAAACGTGGTTACAAACATGGATCCACATGGATCCTCAGGATTTTTGCATTGGGCCACAGCATGAACCACAAAAATCATACATCCACTGTTTCGTGTAGAATATTTTTTTTTCTTATTTTCCTCCTCTAAAAACTACATGCGTGTTATGGTCGGGTGTGTGTTATCGAGCGAAAAATACGGTAATTCCCTAGTAAGGGTGTCTAGGAGTGTCGGTTTAGAGATATAAACATTCTGGATTTATTGCAGACACAAAGGGGAAAGGGTTTAAATTTGTAAACAAAAATTCATGTCTTGAGAATTGTTTGCAATATTTGACTCTAGGTAAACTTGGGAATAATATATGGAGATGTTTTCAATAGCTATCATTTCTTAAATTATTATTATTTCTTCTGTGAAAAGTTCATATTCCCTGTTGTGTATAACTGTAGATATGGCAGTATGTTTAAAAATCATATTATTGAATGTCTGTGTGACGAAATGGATGCATCAGACAGGGAACAGTTACCGTATTTTTCGCTCTATAAGACGCACCAGACCACAAGACGCACCTAGTTTTTGGAGGAGGAAAACAAGAAGAAAAAAATTCTGAATCTAGAAGCCAGAACAGCAAGAGGGATCGCTGTGCAGTGAAAGCAGCAATCCCTCTTGCTGTTCTGGCTTTGGGATAGCGGCGCAGCCTGCATTCGCTCCATAAGACGCACACACATTCCCCTTACTTTTTAGGAGGGGAAAGTGAGTCTTATAGAGCAAAAAATACGGTAAGTCATTTGCAAATAATAATGCACAATGGATGCATAACCCTGATTGATATCTTCATAGAGAGACGTCTGATATGCTTTTGAATGAAAACTCAACACACTGTTAATTCAGTAGCAGATACAATTCTAAACACAGGATGCATAACAATAGTATGAATCCAGTTTGCCCACCCCCTGCAAAAAAAATAAATCAAATCAACATTCTCTTTTGCAGATAAATGTCCCAAACACGAAATACCAGTAAGTGGTAAGGTGCAAATACCCATAGAAGTAAAAGGAGAGCTTTCACAAATCCGTAACCATATGTGAAAGATGTTATTGTGCTGACAGCAAAACATAAATTCAGTATCTACTGAAACTATAAAGACTCAACAGATTTAAAGCATGAGTATTACATTCACTCTCAGTAGTATCTCATGCCTATGAAGTAAAAAATGGTAAAGGACCCCTGGAGGGTTAAGTCCAGTCAAACTTGACTATGGGGTTGCGGCACTCATCTCGCTTTCAGGCTGAGGGAGCTGGCGTTTGCCTGCAGACATCTTTCCAGGTCATGTGGCCAGCATGACTAAACCATGATGGAAACAAGAGTGCATGAAAATGCCATTTACCTTCCCACCACAGCGGTACCTATTTTTCTACTAGCAGTGGCGTGCTTTCGAACTGCTGGGTTGGCAGAAACTGGGACAGAGCGACAGGAGCTCACCCCATCGTGGGGATTTGAACTGCCGACCTTCTGATTGGCAAGCCCAAGAGGCTCAGTGGTTTAGTGCCTATGAAAGCTAATGGCGCAATCAGGGGTTGGATCCTGACGGTGTTAGTTGCACTTTCCATTGAAACCAAATTATTCAGACATGACCAACTTTTCACATTGACTTCAGTGAGTCCTGAGTGTAATCAACTTTGTTTGGATGCAGCTACTGCTGCAGCCACCATGGTCCCTGTGGGTGGCAGACTGACAACCCCTGCCTTAGACAGGCCATTGTTTTAATCTGTTCTCATTTTTAGTTTTTATTATGGCTAGAAGCCTCAAAAGCTGGGAGTGGCTTGGGCCTCTCTGGATCTCTGAGAGGACTTGTTTGCCAGCAGTATCCAGGGCTAGTGCAGTTGATGATGTCAGTGGTCCACATGGGCACTGCTGGTCCTTTTGCGCAGTACACAGATTCCAGCAACTCCTTCTTTGGTTACCACCTTGGGCCTTTGGTCCTTAAGGGTATGGCAGCCACCCACCTCCGGTCACCACTTACTGATGTGATGTCTCCCTATGTGCCACCTCACTGGCCATCACTGGAGATGCTTAGCATTCAAGGGTAGCATGCAGAGTGATTCTTAGGACTGTACAGCATCATGCATACAAACTTTTTGCAGAATGAGTCGCTCACATGACCCACTCGTAGGCAACGTGTTAACCGCCAGTTATGAGAATATTTGGGTAACTTCTGGGAAGGAATGGGTAACAATATAGAAATAGCAAAATGTAACTTACTGTTGCATAGCGCAATGTAAACAGCTGTTAATGATCCCACTTTCACAGCAAGACAGTCAGAATTAAGTGAGCTGCCCTCTATGACTTTGTGTGTTAGCTTTGCAGCCGAGGGGCAAAAAATAGTTGTAATGATATTCTCACTTAGAATCCTGCTTGCCTGTAAGTGGTCTTCTTGTTAGGTTTTGTTTTTTGTTGAACTTTGTGTTGTCATAATAGGGTTTTTCATTAATTGTTACAATTTTATAAATACTGTACAACACTAAAACAAGTGGTTAGGGACTCTAAACCAACGAGGCCCTTTATTTGTGGGCAAAGATTTGCATACAAGCAGCAGGACTTGCTTCCTTTTCTTTTTTCCAGTCACCTCCCCTCCGCCCACACCAAATCACTGCACTGCATCACTCTTTACTGCTGCATTGCATGCTGATTTTTTTAACAGGAGATTTTAACATTGGGAAATTCTCTGGCATAAGCCCTGTTGAGATGAGTTTAGTGTAAATGGGAGTTGCCCTGCGTAATTTCCCAGTAGATTGTGTGGGACATACAGAAGGAGCAAACAGCAAAGGGGCAGTTGAAAGGAGGCTGGTGGTCATGCCATCTTTTTGTTTCCAGATCTGACTGAAATGAGTTTTCATTCAAAACTTCTCAGAATTCTCCTCAGCAAATTTCAGAGTTGACTATTCCAATGATCTCTGGTTTATAAAACGTTGAGCAAGTATTTTAATAACGATATTTAATAACCACTAGTATTTCATTCCAATGTTTGCTCTTCAATGGTTTATATTTTGTATTTGGCAGGACTGATGTAGTAGTGACCTTTAAACTTTTTACCTCCAGGGCAGAGTTTCTTCACTCCCTTGTCTGCCAAAAAAAAAACTTGGTAGCTGAGCTAGATGATTGGTTGAATCAGTGAACACATCTGCATATCTTTAGCTAGGACAAAGCAACAGGAGCTCACCGCGTTGCAGATTCGAACTGCAGACCTACCGATCAGCAAGCCCAAGAGGCTCAGTGGTTTAGTCCACAACATTCCCTTCTTTAAAAAACATTAATAAATAACAACTGTGGGGTGCCCTAAGCAGAAGCAGCAAGTTAACATCTCCCATCCCTATTTCAATAGAAATCTCCAGAAGGCAACATCCTGGAGTAAACAAAAGCTTTGGAAAAGTATATCCCCCCCCCCGAAAAGTGTGTGAGGTGAAAGGGTTAGGCTCCCCCACCTCCCCAAACTGCTGCTAATAATAAGAAAGTGTCCATACAAACCTGACCATGCATTTAATGTATCATCTGAACATTCAGCTGTGGCTGTTCACTGTAGATCAGGAGTGGTGACCAACCTGTCTCTGAAGAAACTTGTCTGATTTCCTAATCTTCTCACTGAGGAACACTAAAGGCTACCCAACACCTGAACTATTGAAAGAGATACCAGCAAGCCTGAAACATACTGATTTTGAGGGGAAAGTTTCGCGTTAAAAACGTGAATTTTAATTTTGGACTCAAAATTTCTCACTGCAGATTCGCATAGTGATTTGGGAAAGAAGAAGAAAAAAGCCCATGCCTTATTCTGAGTATTCAGTTGAGCTCTATTCCTATTAGGCTTCCCCCAACATTTATCTGCATGCTTTACTTGCTAGATTTCTACTTGTAAAATCACTGTGGAAGGCAATGGAGCAGGTCCCCCTGCAAACTAGCAACTCTTTGCATTTGGGCGTTCTATTTACACCTGGGAAGATAAACATGCGAGGGGGAAGGGGAGGGGCTCCCCTCCCCATGCCTCATCTCTATCCCATCAAAAGCATTCCACAATCAGGGTTCTAAACCAAGAAGGAAGGCTCTCTGAGCAGAGTAGGGTTCCCACTTCAGACTTTCACACTCAGTCTCATGGAGGGCTATAAACTCCGTTAAGGGTGACAAACCAGAGAGAGTGGGCTTGGCAGTGTGCCCCCACTCCACCCCATGGTTTTGTTCAGTGCTTTTTTTTCCTCTCTAAAAAATTTTCTTACTCATATTGAAATACTGCCCCTCAATAAGGCCAAACTTAGATTCACAAAATGTTTAGGGGTATGTGTACCCCTGTGTCCCCTCTCCCCCAAGAAAAAAGCACTGGTTTTGTTTGCCATACAAATAAATACAGCACACAAAGAGGCCTAAAGTGGGGCAAACCTATTTAAGATAGAATCCTATTGAACTAGCTCCTTAAACCTGCAGAGGTGGCTGTCAGATTGCTGCTGCAAAACAGTAAATGAATTCTAGCAATGTATTTTCTTTCTTGGTTTTAGGCATGTAGATATCACAGTGGCGGTCAGCACGCATAAAAGAAGACTGGATATAGCATGAAATAAACACAGCTCACTATGCAGCAAATAGCGAGATAAAAAGAATAGTGAAATAAAGGAAATATCTACTGATGTAGATGCTCGTTTGCTTTTTTTTACCCATTTATGCCACATTTCAGCTGAGAGGGAATTATAGGACTAGGATATAGGGAGGAAAGTATTTGAAAACATTTTTTTCTGCATTCAATTGATTGGCCTTGTGGAGCATGTTACTTGCCTATTGTTATAACAACTGTATATAGAAAATAGCGTTAGGATAACTAAGCACTAAAGGAAATCCTGGTTCTGTCAAGGGAGATGGTGATTGTTGAGGGGAAATGGCTCTAGGCGACCTTTAGTACGGTAAGTGTTGGGCATATGCCTCCTCGTTGTCACTATGGATATTTTGTTCAGCCAAGGAATATTGCATAATAAGGAGCTGATGAAATAAATGGTACCCAAAATGACTATAGAAATATGTGCATGCTGTTTGTGGGAGGCAGAGTGGAAGAATCCCTCCCCCTGCCTTGGTCATACTTGATGCTTTTTGTTCAACAACACTGACCCAACTCCCACATAAATGCTCTACAGAAAATCACAGCCCACCTACGTAATTCATTTTGCAATGCATTTGGAGGCCGTAAGTGCTTAAAGCGCTTTAATATTTCAGCAGATCGGCATGAAAGCGCAGTGTGGCGTAGGTTATAATCTGAAATTGACAGCTACTATTGGCACATACATTGTTAAACAAACACAGGGCCGTATACCCAGCTGAGCAAATCAATTAATCATTCAAACTGCTCTATGAATGTATAATTTGCACATGAAATTGGTCATGTTTTCATTCTTGTTCTGGCAGACATTTCTCAGTTGGTTTTAGCCACCTTTCCTTTAGAAACGGCCAAAAGTGAAACTGTAGGAAGTAAAAACTGCAGAAGCAGGGAAATTTGCAGGAAATAGGGCAAGAAGCCTCATGTGGAACTATTATAATGTTATCACAAAATCCTTTTAGTTATCATTGTGTGAGAGAGAGGGGAGGGGGGAGAGAGAGAGGGAGAGAATGTGTGTGTGTGGCTATTGTAGAGCATTTTAATTATTTGGATATTTTCCTTTGCAGGAGTCTCTGCCATCACAAAACACAAAAATGATTTCGTCTATACTCATTTCACAGATGATTGATGAGAATAAATCAAAAGAAAATAAGGCTCCTTTCCCTATGAAGTCTGTAATCACCCAGTCTGATGCTTATCGCATGAGCCAATCTTTGGCTAATCATAGTTCAGTCAACATTAATAGAGCATTCATATTGCTTCCCAGAAGATTAGGAATTCAGATTTCTTCAGATGACAATGTATTTGGAACAGACTCCCATACCAAAGAGGAGACACAGTGTCAGAGCCAGAGGAAAGGTTTTGCTTCCATCACAATCACCGCTAGACGAGTCGTTCCACCTTCTCACAGCATGATGCAGGTGGATGCTTCCGACCCTGCTTGTTTGAAATGCCGAGGAAGAAGTAAGCTGCTAATGAACACTACTCCTGCTTCAAATGTGACTGGGCTAGATCATCTCTGCAGACCTTTCCACGCACAAAGATGTTGTCAAAATGGAAATGCCACTGAAATAAAGGTTTCTGAACCCTGTCCGCAGCCGTGCACGGAGCAATCTGGCTGCACATCTAGCATTGAAAATAAAGAGAACAGAAGGACCCCTCCAAGAAACAGCCACAAGAAACAAGCACCAATTTCCTTCACTTCAAGCATTCACTTCAGCATTTCCCAGCGGTGTCCAAACACAATATATTACATAGACAAGTCTCTCTCAGTGCCTGTAGATCAGCCTCGGACTAAAAACCAAAAAATGCGTAGGTCAGTCATGTCTTTCAATATAAATTGCAGTTCCCCCACTTTAACGCCAGATGGAGTGGATGGTTTAGCTAATGGAGAGCTAATCACAGAAGTACTTAAGACAAAGCTCCCAGAGGAGAGCAAGGCTCCACACAGAACAATTTGGAATGCAGATCTCAAGGAGAACTACTTGGATGAAAAACAGACATCGGAAAAGGAACCATTAGGGACTGAATATCTCCAGAACGGTACCTTTCCATCTGAAACCCTGCCAGTTGTGGATAGCCTTCAAGGACATGATAATTTAAAGCTAACACAGAGTAATGATGGGAATTCAAATGACAATCACAGTACATTGTCTCCTCACATTCCTCATTGGACTTACGATGAAGGTGAGTAGGTTAAATAAACTCATCCTTGTTAGATCAGATATCTAGAACAGAATTCATCCACCTTTCTTTTAACGCTGCCACTAGCTTTTTTTTTAAGTGCCTTTAAAAAATAAACATATGATGATTCTGAGGGCCACTTCATATATAACATTCACATGAAGAATAGTGCTGGCTTGCCCTAAATATGAGTAGCCCTGAATACAAACTTAAATGTCTAGTTATTAGGGACGCAGGTGGCACTGTGGGTTAAACCACTGTGCCGTTTGGGCTTGCCGATCGAAAGGTCGGCTGTTCGAATCCCCATGACGGGGTGAGCTCCCGTTATTTGGTCCCAGCTCCTGCCAACCTAGCAGTTTGAAAGCACACAGTGTAAGTAGGTAAACTGCATTTCTGTGCACTGCTCTGGTTTTGCCAGAAGCGGCTTAGTTATGCTGGCCACATGACCCAGAAAAACTGCCTGTGGAAGCGGACAAATGCCGGCTCCCTCGGTCTGTAAAGTGAGATGAGCTCCCCAGAGTAGTTTGCGACTGGACTTGTCAGGGGTCCCTTTACTTTATGAGATTATGGTTTGGACAGCAAGCATATTGCTGCTGTTCCCCATCGACACCTTTGACTGTGCAGGCTCCCAGAAAGGACCTTGCGACTGCTTTGCTCCTGTGGCTCATTGTTAGCTCATTGTCTGAATTGGGACTCATGGTTTATCTCTCTTCACACTCTCTCCAAGAACACAACTTGGCTAAGGCTTGTAGTTAGCAATGAGAGAGCTTAACTGCAAGTCCCGGTTCTGATGACCGATTAAACCAAATCTTGGCTTAGCTCAAGGTGGTGCAGCAGTAACAGCCATGGAAGCAGCAAAGTAGCTGCAGGCAACCCTCTGGTTAGCTTCATGTTTGCATCGTCTTGATAAGCTATCATTTGGCCTACTTGCATCTTTGCTGGCTGAAGTCCATAATGATATTCCAGGGTAAGCACAATCTTGACCAAGTTCTGTGAACTATATCTCAGAACATTTTAACAACCTGGAAACAGGTCCATGCTCAGGGTAGAAAGTTGGGGTTTGTTTTAAAGTGGAACCCCCCCAGTACATACATGATTCCAGGGTTGAAGTCCTTTATGCACCCAAGTGTTACACCAGCTCACACCTCCTGTACTTTTTCCCACACCAGAAAAGCCAGGATTACATTTGCTATGGTTTCTTTTTATTACAGTAGTAATGGCAAAGGATGGCTCCTGGTACAGTAAAAAGGGGGGTGTCCAATAGAGGCTAACTCGTTTGCAGTCTGTAGAAGATTGATCCTAACAACTGGCAGAGGGTCTTCTCGGTAGTGGCTCCCGCCCTGTGGAACACCCTCCCATCAGATGTCAAGAAATAAACAACTATCCAACTTTTAGAAGACATCTGAAGGCAGCCCTGTTTAGGGAAGTTTTTGACATTTGAAGTTTTATTCTGTTTTTAATGTTCTGCTGAAAGCCGCCCAGAGTGGCTGGGGAAATCCAGCCAGATGGGTGGGGTAGAAATAAAAAATTATTATTATTATTATTATTATTATTATTATTATTATTAATCCACAACAAGCTTATAAAGCAGAAAAGGTAAGGACATATACAGTAGGAGACCCCTCATAATTTATGCACCACAATCCTATACATGTCTGCTTAGAGGTAAGTACCATTTGACTTCAGTGGGACTTGCTCCTAGGTAAGTGTGTGTTGCATTGCAGCCTTAATCACTCACTGTCTCATATTCCAGCAGGTATTGATTGGTGAGGTGCATGCTTTATAGTATGCTGCAATATGTGTAAAGAACATCCAGAGAGAATTTAGATAGGCAGTACTCACTTGTGTAAGCAATTGGGCACCTAGTGTGCAGTGGAGGTCAAAAGGCAAGTCATGTCTCTTCCTTCCTAACCTGGAACTAGTCTGGGTCAAATGTTCAGTCAGATCCCTGCACAGTGCTCAGTGTCAACTTGTCCTACCCTCTCATTCCTTTGCATAGACACATGGGAAAGATGCTTGTGTGTGATGTCTCTTTTAATAATGCTGATACACTGTTGTGAGCATGAATCCTGGCTGCGGTCCAACATGAACTGCTGAGCTCGGATCTCAGTGGGTGTACCCTTTAGCCCCATAATGTTAAACATAATTAAGAGAATTCTGTGTGGCTCTAGGACTGTTTCTTATGGTTTATTACATGCTAGACGCAGCATTTGGTGTTCCTTAAAAGAGTCTGGAATCAATATATCTTAAAATAATTTTGCTCATAGAAGTTGCAGTTTCTTTGAGGCAGGGTGGAAACAACCCATGCAACTCTGCATTTGCATGCAGTTAATAAAATACAGCAGTTTTAAGTCTTTAAGAAATGTTTGCTAGCTGTAATGATAGTTCAGTAATGGAACCATGTGCGTTAGAAAGGAAAGTTTCAAAAAGCAAGTCAGCTTAACTTTGTTCAAGGATGATAAAACACTGTGACTTCTGCATTAAGGACAATAGAATGACCAAGGTGACCTCCCATGGTACCATCCTTCCTTGAAATTGTATAAATTCAAAGTAACAGTTTATGAGCTGGCTTTCTTTTTTAGCTATGATAATGTGATATCCTCCTTTATTCTCTAAAGGGGGGCTGAGGAAACCAGCCAGATGGGTGAGGTATAAATAATAAAATTATTATTATTAAATTATTATCTTAGGGACAGAGCACATGCATTTCATACAGAAGGATGCAGGATCAGCCCTTGGCATCTATGTGAAATTGATTTTAGGTAGTAGTGCTAGCAAACTTCTGACAGACCCAAGGGAGCTGCTACCAGGCAGAGAATACAGTATTTGGCTTGTTGGACCATTGCTCTTGTGCATTGTTATAGAATCACAGAATCTTAGAGTTGGAAGGGACCCCGAGGGTCATTTTGTCCAACCCCCTGCAATGCTAAAGCATCAGCTAAAGCATCCATGACAGATGGCTGTCCAACCTCTGTTTAAAAACCTCCAAGGAAGGAGATTCCACCACCTCTTGTGGGCGTCTTGTTCCATTGCTGAACAGCTCTTACTGTGAGAACATTTTTTTCTGAATGTTTAGTCGAAATCTCCTTTATTGCAACTTGAAGCCATTGGTTCAAGTCCTACCCTTCAGGAGAAAACAAGCATGCTCCCTTCTCAATGTGACAGCCCTTAATATATTTGAAGATGGCTATCATGTCTCCCCTCAGTCTCCTCATTTCCAGGCTAAACATACACAGCTCCTTCAAGCGCTCCTCATAATGTTTAGTTTCCAGGCCCTTGATCATCTTGGCTGCCCTCCTCCTCACACGTTCCAGCTAGTCAATATCCTTCTTAAACTATGGTGCCCAGAATTGGACACAGTATTCCAAGTGTAGTCTGACTAAGACAGAATAGAGTGGTACTATTACTTCCCTTGATCGGGACACTATACTTATGTTGATGCAGCCTAGAATAGCATTAGGGTGTGTGTTTTGCTTTGTTTTTTGCTGCTGTATCATACTGTTGACTCATGTTAAGCTTGTGGTCCACCAAGATCCTTTTTACGTGTACTGCTAGTAAGCCAGGTGTCCCCCATTTTATATCTGTGCATCTGGTTCTTCCTGCCTAAGTGCAGAACCTTACATTTGTCCCTATTGAAATTCATTCTGTTAGCTTGCACCCAGTTCTCCAATCTGTTAATGTCATTTTGAATTCTGGTTGTCTTCTGTGGCATTAGCTACCCCTTCCAGTTTGGTGTCATCTGCAAATTTGATGAGCATCCCCTCAGTTCCTTCATTTGAGTAATTTATAAAGACATTAAACAACAACGGGCCCAGGACAGAACCCTGCTGCACCCCATGTCACTTTTTTCCAGGATGACAAGGAACCATTAATGAGTACTCCTTGGGTTCAGTCAGTCAACCAGCTACAAATCACCTAACAAATCAGTGTCATTTGTTCCCATGGTATAAAATGTGAATATGCCTTCTGAGAGGTTCCCACCCAGTAGCATGATTTTTGGGTCCCCTTATTGCATTCTTCCTGCTTTTAACATTTTAAATAGAACTAATTAATAACGACTCAAAAGGTCATGGCCTTTCTTGTTGAGATCAAAAAAATAATGAGTAGTCAATTACCTGTCAGCCATTTAGCAGTGACAAATTGTAGGGAATGAGTAATATTCATGAGCCTTCATTAGAATTGGTGTTGAATTATACCTTCACATGAGAGATGGGAAAGATCTATTAGGTCATCCAATCCAATCTGCATATAAAATGCTGTATGGCTTTACAGTTTAATTACTTGCAGCAATGCAGACCTGATGTTAAGTATGAGAGACAAATGTCTTTCTGCTTTGCGGTAGGACATATCTGGGTGTGCCCCTTCAAAAACACAAACATAAACCCAACAAAGGACATTTCAAATATAGCTGATACTCCTAGGGGGCTACATTTGTGAAGCATGAAAAGAAGGTTCTAGTTAGATAAATATCGGAAAGGCTAGAACAATCAGAAGCTGAAATTATTTATTAATGTGAGATTTCAACATAACATTAACTAGCTAAACTTGTATTGTTATGACATATACTTATAACCTGTGCTTATGTAGTACAGGTTTTCAATCACAATTATATAACCAAACTTCTGTTTTATGCACTTTTTTCTAAACCCATTAATCCTGTTGTTGTGGCTGTTCCCATTCCTATCTTCTGGGTAAAAACAGTATTCATTCATTCATTCATTCATACAAAATGTGTATTCTGCCCTTCTGGTGTCTAACAACAATTAAAACCCACCATAAAACACATTACAGTCGTCATCCCCAACACACTGTTATCTAAGATATAAATACAGTATAATAGAAACAGACAAGTGGAGCAAATTAACAGAAAATCATTGGCTAAAAACTTATCTATTGATAAAACAAAAATCTGCCCTAAAGAGGAAACACCCAAAGGGTTGCATAAGATAAAAAGTTTGAAAATTTAGGTGCAGCTATAGGCAAGTAGTGATGTAGTAGTCGGC